TGGTCCCTGAGTGATAAGTGATGGGGCTGGGGGGGCACAGGGAGATAATCCCCCAACCCCTTTTGGTGCCTCCCCCAGACTCTTGTAGCCCAAATCCCCAGGAGTGTCACAAATATTGAGCCCCATCCCCACAGCTATGGGTACACAGGGGGCAGTGTGGCCTTGCCAGCCCCAGGCAAGGTGACAGCGGTGGGGCAGTGACAGCTCATCTACCCCCCCCCATACCAGCTCAGCTTCGATCTCCTTAGCGGGGTCCCTGTCCTGCAGTCCCCACCTCAGTGTTGCCATGGAAACCCCCGTCAGCATCGACAGGGCTGTGGCGTTGCCACGGGGACGGGTGATGCCTCGGGGCCCCCATTAATTGGCAGCAGAACGGAGCTGCCTCTGTGCAGCAGGGGGGGGCAGTGGGGTGCCGGCAACCCCCGGCCCTCCTCCCCAGGGGCTGACATCAGAACCACAGCCCCCACATGGCTGGGGCTGCTCCCCATCCCCTCATGCCCCATAGCATCCCAGCTGAGTGGGGCACCCTGCACACTGCCTGCAACAAGCCCAACCCTGGCATCCCATCCCTGCCAGTCCTTGTCACTGGGCCAAGCAGTAAGGATTTAGGGCTTTTTTTTTCTCCCATTTTTAATCCTGCATTCAATCTCTGCCCTCCCCCAGCACCGCCGGGCACAGCACCATCCTTTGGTCCCCGCTGTCCTCACAGAGGGCTCAGCCCTTTCCTTGGTGGGCACCCACTGCTTTTCCCACCCCCTTTGCTGCATTGGGCCCCCCTTACGGATCCCACTGCTGCCTCTGACCTGGAAACCTCCATTATGCCGCCACTGTCCCAGGGGGGGCCGAGCAGCCCCCGCCCCATAATCCTCTTAGGGAGCCCCCTAACGGGATCACTGCTGCATGGTGACGGGGGGGGGATGACTTAGGGACGCCCCTGGGGACATTCCCGTCCCTATGCCCAGCACTGGGTGGGGGCCTGTCCCAGTATGGGGTGGTCCTTGGCCAATAATGTTATGGGGATTTTTGGGATGGAGCCCCGGTGCTGTGCCGGGATCCCATTGCCGCAGCCACCCCGGCACTCCTTGGCATGCAGAGCACGCGGGCGCCGGCCGCGAGAGCCTTTTGACATTGTATAAAGCCAAGCAAGAAAATTGATGTTCTTTTCCATCCTATTAGCGGGGGCTTAGCTCCAGCCAGGAGAAAATGGTGATTAAAGGGCCGAGTCCTTCCCCATTCCAATCGCACCTGGGAGGGGGGGGGGGGGGGGGGGGGGGGGGGGGGGGGGGGGTTTGGGGCTGATGAATGGGACAAACTGACAGCATTTT